TGAAGAGAAGGAAGTTCCACCCGAAGTTGAACCATTACCACCTGCCCCACCAGGAGAAGAAGGAAAGCCAGAGATTCCTGATGAAAAAGGCCCTGAAGAGTAAGATGTTCCTCCTGAAGTTGAACCATAACCACCTGCTCCACCAGGGGAAGAACAAAAACCAGAAATCCCTGATGAAAAGGGTCCAGAGGAAAAACATGAAGAAGGTGAACCTCCTGTTGAACCACCTGTTGAACCAAGTCCTGAAGAGAGTCCTGAAGAAGAAGGAGAGATCCCTGATGAACCACCTGTCAATCCAAATCATGAAGAATCACCTGAAGAATCAACAGAAGAATGGGTTGAAGAAATTGAAGAGGAATTTGAAGAATTTGAAAACCCACCTATTGTTGCTCCTCCTATTGAACCACCCAGTGCTGTTGAAAAGGCTTGTTTGAATTCAGTAAACGAGATTGTTTATACATCATCTGTTGATGAAGCCACTCCATTAGTCAATAAATAATTGGAAGGTGACGATTTAAGTTGTTATGGATTTGGATTTTATGCTAGATGGCTTTAAGCTTATCCAACATTCTTGGTTCATGGAAGATAATCTGAAAGATATTTCGTTGCAAGAGTTTCTGAATCTGAACACACAACTGGTGAAGTTACTGATAGTGCCTTGAGCGTATATTTGACTAAAGAAGGTTTTGAATTCCAATCATACGACGTATATGGATTATCAACAACAGTAATTTCAGTTGGTGACATTGAAGGTAAATGGATTTATGTTTATTACTCATATTGCAATGAAAAAGCAGTTGCATTTGTAAAAGATGGTGAATCTATATAATTGACCGAAGTTATTGTTATCCATTAAAGACCATCTCAATTGTATTTCTAATTGGCAGGTAAACAAGGGGATGTTCCATCATTCTAAGGTCAATTCAGATTAGTTTAAGCTAATGTTGGTTAAAATGTCTTCATTGGAACTTTAACAGAAGCTAATGATTTCGTATTTGCTTGCAATCAGTTACCTGAAGAGAAATGTGAAAGATAGATCTCAAATCTTCATGATTTCGAATTCCATGGTGCTGATTCCTAATTTGATGCATCAGCTGTCGTTGAGAATGCTGACCCAATTTATGCTTAAGAATACTCAGTTTCTGGTTGGTTCAAATGGAATCCAGTTCAAACTTCAGAATCCTGGTATTCAGCATTCAGATTGACATTGAACAATCTTGCAACCAATCAAAATTCAAAAGAATTGGGAGATAGAGATTTGGCGTTATTTGTAGGAAGTGAAAAGAAGGATTCAGTCTTAGCTTTCACCACATATACTTACACAGACTTGTACGGCAATGGTAACCCAACTTATTGGTAAGCCATCCCATATGAAAAGGATTTGGTCCACTGGCATTATATTTACTTTGGATACAGCAGACACATCTCCAAAGCTTATGGTTATGTTGAGTTCTTCACCAGAAAGGGAGAAGTACACTTTGAAAATGTCAAGCACTTTGATGCTCCTCACAAATACTTGTATGTTGGACAAGATCAATTCTATAAGTCTTACAGTGGTAAAATCTTCAATCTACATTACAATCTTTGTGATGGTTCATACAGAGAATTGAAATATGATGAACATTGGGGATACACTCCTAAACCAACTGATCCAGTCCCACCTCCTCCAGCCCCAGTTCCTGAAACCCCATCTGAACCTGCAAGTGAAGAAGAATTTGTTGAACCACCCCTCCCAACTATTCCATCTGAACCTGATGATGATGTTCCTTATGAACCTGAACCAGAAGATAAGCCACTCCCACCTCCATCTGAAAGTGAAGAGGAAACTCCAATTGAACCACCTGTTGAACCTGAAGAAGAAACTCCAAGTCATGAGGAAGAACCAGAAATCCCAGATGAACCTGTGCCTGATCCTGCTCATGAAGAAGATGTAGAAGTTCCAGAGGAACCACCTGTTCCATCAGAACCTGAAGAATCAGTTGAACCACCAGTTGAACCTCCTGTTGAACCACCTGTTGAACCTGAAGAAGAAGAGCCAACTCCATCAGAAGAGGAAGAGGAACCTTAACCACCTGCTCCAGTTCCTTAACCAAAGTATTTAAGTGTAAATATATTTCATTAGATGCCCACCAACCATTGAAGTTAATAAAGACAATGCTGCTGATATCCTATGTGAATTGTCACATTATTTGGGTGAATTTGCTTAAGGCCATGTTCCAGTTGCTGGACCAAGCACAAAGACTGTATGCTTCTGTATGACTTACAATGAAGGTTTGATTAGAATATTATCTTTAGATTATGCTCCACCAACTTTATTGTAATTGGCATCTAGGATCCCAGGACATCTTTAAATGAATGAACCTAAAGTAGCAGTACCATTATTGAAGAAATTCATCAAGCAAAGATAATGAATATTTTTAATATTAAAAATGGCTAATCAATTAGATACAATTTCATTTTCTACGTAATAAAGACTTCATTAATATACTCCTTCGATTGATTCTCATAAATCCAATAAACAACACTAACATCCTTAGAATTTGGATGCCCATCAAATCAACAAAGAGATTCAATTCATTGCAGATTATGCATTGAAATTAATTAAAACTACTTAGCCAACTTCTGATAAATATAAGTACATAATTAGAATTGCAGAAATCAGTATGAAAGCAAAAGAAGTGGATAACAATAAAAAATTATTGGATGACATTGTTGAAGAATTATCTATTATTCTAGCTCATTCTTTGAAATCAAAAACTGTTCAAATATTGCTCACTAGATTAATTTAGTTGTATAAAAAAAAGCAAGTCTGTTTTATTAATAGTGAAAAAAATATCAAAAAATATGCACAATATTTTAATAATAAACCCAAAAATCCACACACAATAATCACCAATTAAATTGATTCACCAAGATTAAATATTTAAATCTAAAAATCTTACTCTCCTACATCTTTGTATCAGAATTCCAAAATCACCTAAACCAGAGAACATAAATTTCAAATTTAACCTCCTCATTTAGAGGATCCATATAATTTAAACTCTGAGCATCTAAAAGCCTTATTAAGTCCATCCATGAAGTTCCAGAGACAAAGGAATTATTATCTTTCCAAATATTGATTATTAATTTTTCTAATGCAATACTGTTTATATAGTTTACAATTGTAATAAAAATAGTTATAATTTATAATAAACTTAAATTATAGATAATAAATGTAATTATTTATTACTAAATCAATTTTATGACAAATTAGCATTTCTAAACCTCTCTCTTATTTTGTTCTAATCTTAAGGATTAGTTATCAATTTCAAATTATCGATATTATAATTGGATTCCCTTTGAGATTGAACCTATTTCTAACTGAAGGTCAAACAAGCACAATAGAGAATTATTGCAGTAACTACTAAACCAGCAGAAACCCCTATGATAATGTAAGGAGCATCCTTTGGATAAACCTTCCAATAAGGTAATATCTCAATGCTTTCAACTTTAATACTCCCTGAAACTGTATATCCTGAATTAGCATTAGAAGTTGTTTGGCTATCCGTCTATAATAATCTTCTTAGCAACATTCTTCTTCTATTATCAGTACCAGAGTTATCATCCATATCTCTTTCAACCAATTAGGCTGTGATCTATATTGTACAGTTCTATACTGCAAAGGGCACAGTAAATTTATAAATGATAGCAGTCATATTTTTTTCACTTTCAGCTTACGATTTTAAATTAATATATGTTCCATTACCAAGAGCAATTGAACTAACTAATTGAAATTTGAAATCAGCCCCAAAATCTATGTATTTATTGTCAAGCATCACCAAAATGTAAAAGGGATCATTTAAATACAATACTTAAGGTTCAGTATAGAATGACCTACAAGTTGAACTCTCACATAATAGAACTTTGCCTTCAACTTTTGTTGACGCTTCACCAAGATAGATTGAGGAGGTCAAAACTTAAAATTCTGCTTAATTAGATGATATCTCTCCTGTAACCAGAATTTCACTATTATTGGTTTGATAAAAGAATTCTTAAGTCCATGTCATATTCACTAAATCCACTGTAGTATTTTTCAATTATAATAGGAATTCAAAAAGACATGAATATCCTGGTTTTCCAGAAATTGGTAGAATCAACTAATATAGACAGCCGGCACTTGATAAAGAGCTTTATTATATTTTAAATCCATATTAATAAATATCCAAGACTGGATTAGATCCATCTATATAGTTGCTGTTGATTTTATTCATTGTGAACTTCACCTAATGACATTCATTTATTTTAATATTCTTTAACACTATACCATATAATGAATTTTATTCTGAGATCCAACCAACTGAGATTTTATTAGCTGTTATGCTGCCAGCATCGTAGTAACAATAGTCAGAGATGCAGGCTCCTCGATAGAGTCTTCCTTTTTCACACGATGTACATTCAGAATACGATAAGCAAGTACTGCAACCTTCAGAACAAGTTGATCTATCAAATACTGAAATGTTAGTCACCAAAAACTTCCCTGCAAAATCGGTTGCATCTGAGTAGGCTTCGAAGATTATTCTGAAAGGTTTTGTAGAATTAGGTCTAATGTGGACTCTAACCTTACTTATGAATATACAATATACTTTTGTCCATGTGTTCTCAGCAAGGCTGTTTATAGTAACAAATTATGCATATTTATTTGTTTGATTTACCCCAGAGGTTATCACACTTATGTCTTCTGCAGCAACCCAATAAAATTCATCTTCGTCATTTGTCCAACCTATAACTATTCCTGTATTAGGGCTTTTAGATGAAGGATGACTAGAAGCATAATAAGCAAATTCCAAAGTGGCTACGTCTTCTTCGCTTGTGAAATTTAAACTAGACTGAATTGGTCTAGTAAAACAATCACCTCCAAAAGTAAGTTTAGTTATCACCATACAATTTTATGGTCTTCCAAAAGCAGTACATGGCACAATTAGACAATTATGGGTACTTTGTACATCCGATTCATTTTTTGAAGTAATAAATGTTGATATGTGTTCATTGAAATTGAAGAATGTTGGGGTTTATAAATATTATCCTAGTACTACCTCAAATCCCAAGAGAATAATTTAGAGCAGCATTAAATTAAATATATAATTATGAATCCAATAGGGTGATAATCCAACAATTAGAAAAAAATTCCAAATATTCTATTTGAATTATCTAATTGATTTTCTATTGTCATGGAACTATATCTATCTAAAATGGGTTTATAATTTTTAATTTTACAAAGAAACCCAAATTTTATTGGATTTCCTAATACAATCAACTAGAACTGTAATATCTTTTATAAATTAGCATTTCCAAACTCTACTATTTATTCTTATTTCTTTCTATCTCACTCTGTTCATCTCATCTTAAATCTTAATTAGTAATTTATTGATTAACTTCTAACACTATATAATTCGCCATTATATTGCTCAATTATCAAAATTTAAGAAAAAATTTTAATTGCTGGAAGATCTTATAATAATGAATGCGCTTTAGAGTTATTGGTGTATTTATATATCCATTATTTGAGTATTCTTAGATGATAAATAATTGAATCACTAATTAAAAGATTCCTTATAAGAATTTAGTTGTTTCTCCTATTTCTTTATTTAACAAAAAAAAGCAGTATAAGATATGATTAATAAACTTATGATTTGGATATATTATAAATATTTATAGCAATATGATTTTAATAGTATTGTATTTTCAATTTTTATTATAATTTTATATCAATTTTAAATGAAAATTTTAATTCTATTTTATTAATTTATAATTCATATATCCAAATCTCTTATTCTTAAAATATTAATATCAATAAATCAAACTTTTAATAAAATCCTAACTATGATCATTTGTTAAAAATAACCTTCGGCAATTCCAAAATTAGTATTATTTTATAGAAGAAACCCCACTCAATAAGTTGTAAAAAATATCCATATATATTTAAACTATATTTTTCAAGTATCTACATTCTTGGTAATATATAAAATAGTACAGATTCTTGGATCATATAGCAGTAGACTAAAAATGAAATCTCATGGCTTAGTTGACATAATTAATAAAAATATTATAGTTTTGTTAACTAATGTTGATCTATCGTTGTTTAAATCTTAAGGATAATAATAAGAATTTTTTATAAAACCTATAATAATCTAGTATATATTTATTAAACTCCATAAATAAAATTAATGTTAACCAAAGTATTTTCACCTAAACAATTTATGTTAGTCTCAGAAACTAAATTATACTAATAAAAATGTTAGATCAATCAATTTACTTTCAAACATCATTTATCCATACATTGCAATTAAAAAACATGTTTAAATTATAATAGCAGATATCAATTTTGGAAGTTTTCTTCAAACTAAAATATTTAATCCACTTAACAATCTAATTAAGAATTGCAGAATGTATCAAAATCTGATACCAAACTATCAAAAATTTCAATTTTCAATATTTTTAATAAAAGCTAAAGCATTATTGAAGAAAAATAGAAAAACATAAAAAGTAAAAATTATTTAGAGCAAATGAAGAATTCTTAATTAAATTTTTTGTTTCAAGAATAAGTCTCTAAATTAAAGGATGTTGGGAAAGCCTCCTACAAATATTTTTTAATAGGAATATTTGTTTTAGGTTTTGCATATTCAATACCAAAATCAATCTCAACCTTTCTGGCCACAAAAATGGCAATTTCAACTCAATTATCAATAGAAAACCTCAAAAAAGAGAATGAAATGCTAAAAAGCAAATTGGAACTTGTAAAAAATAAAATAGAAGCAGAAAGCACAAAAGTTAATGATTTGAGATAGAAAAATATATAATGAACCTTTTTTATAATATTTAATGTTTTATTTTTAATCTCATTGTTGTTAGTAATTTAAAGATCTAACCTATCCTCTATTTATTCTAATTTCTTCATCTCTCATATCCACCATCATTGAAACTACTTTAAATTGATAATTCTTCAGATCCTAGTTTGCGTCCTTATTAATCCTCTCGACCTCTTCATCCACATTAATTTCAAGACCTTCAGCAGTATGAACTGCATGCAAGTTTCCAACGATATTTTAGCTCATTGAAATAAGTTATTACTACATTCCCATTACAATCCTTGGTTGAAATGCTTCTTAATACTCTTAATCTGTTAATAAATCTATAAACCCTACATTAAACCTTCCCTCATTGATAATTGTTCTATCTATTCCGCTATCTGTTTCAGAATTCTACTATTTTTGATAGACAAGAATGAACTTCCCTTCCTCAAAGTTATATTTAAATTTTTCAGGAAACACATTATCCTTCCGTAATTATTATAAAGCTTCTCCAAGGGCTTCATGATAAAAAACACTGGTTGTAAATTTTTTCACAGGATTTATACTACAATACTCTTAACATCGACATAGCTGAAGTCCATCTGCAGGAATTTGGAATTAACACTCAACCAATTTTTCATAAAATGATTCAAAATCTATATAAGAATTCTTTTTGCAGTTCTTGATTATTAATGGGTACTAAAGTCTTCTATTTGGATTTACAGTACATTTCAATGAGCTAAATTTAACTTCTTTTATAAATTCACCATTGCTATCTTTTTTCTATTTTAAAATTTAGGTATAGCTCTTTTTACTAAACTTTTATTTGGATAAAAATTCCTACAACATATATTGTTTTCCATCATAATCAAATAATTTATTATCATTAATGCTAGAGTCTTTAAACATTCTAGAAATTATATTTTAATCAAAGTAAATCAGGCTATTCAACTATCCTGTGCTAGTCTGAAGAATATTCTTGCAAATTGGACATTATATTGAAGTAGAGCGATTTTAAGTTTTTTTTTCTTTGAAAAAATAAGCTACATAAGATCTAATGTCTGCACATCGGTTAAAATCGGGGCATTTAATGCATCTTACAGGAAATTCTACTTATTTTAAATTAAGTGGATCGCACAAATTAATTTTTCTTACTTAATACTTCTATTGATTTAATTTGTTTTAAATTTATTCACTCAGATTTAATTAAATAATCGATTGTATTTATATCATTATTGATTTGTAAGTTGCATCATCAAAATTTTTGGATATATCTTAAATGTATAGATCCTTATTTTAGAAATCTTTTTTAAATTCGTTCTTTTTAAGGTCATATTGAAATTTAAATTAAATCGATGGAGCAGAGTTTAAAATTTCTAATAACTCTTAATCTATAAATAGCCTATCTAACATATGAGGTAAAGTAGATATGTCTATTTTATTTTCACAACCAGGGTAATAGCAATGAAAAATAATACTTTAATCGTTAATATTCCTAACCATTTCCACGTCTTGTCTATTTTGTTCACAGTTCTTCTAATACCATAGAAGACTAGTTAATTCGTAACATGCAGGATGTTGACAATTTATTATTCTTGTAGGAATAGTGATTTTAATCTTGTCTAATAAGCAATAAGCCCAGAAATCATAGTAAGATCCTGAAAATCCTAAATTTTTAATCAAAGTTGAAATTGAATTCATGTTATGATATTTATTATAAAGTTCTCTGATAAAATGCTTGTGTTCATTATTTTGTTAGGTATTACAAATTGTATCCGTATAGATTTTCTTTCTTTAATATTTGTGTGTCCATATTCCTTCAATGACTTAAACAATTTAAGTGAATGAATGAAATTTTTCTCGTACAAATCCTCTGATGTCTTTTCTTAGATCTTATTTTGTGTATGCTTTCTTTCCACAGCTGCATTAGGCAAATCCACGTGTGTTTATTTATTATATTGCATCTGAAAAATTTAATAGGTCATGACATTAAACATGAACACAATCTTTTGTTATTGTCTATTCAAATTAAATATATCATACAGGTTATTAAACAAGATCAACGCCACTCTTCATCAATTCTACACTATCAAAATAAATATTTGATAAGTTAGCGTTTGGTATGATTTCGTATTGAATTTAGTCCATTATTCTGTTAATAAAAATATAAATAAATGCTTGATTTTGAGATGAGCCTTTTAAATACAGAAATAATTCTACTTATTTATTAATGACTTATGACCTATGTACTATTTCTTTTCTTAGATATTATTTAATATATTCAAATGTTTATTTTCAATTATTCTTTTACTCATAAGGAATAATTTAAATCAGAGAAAAATATTTATATAATAGTATGTTAATGAAATATGAATCCTTATGAAAATGTTTTGTTAATTGAATTTAACAATAGTAATAAAAATTCAAACTCAGGTTATGAAGATTTCAACAAATTCTTCTATTTTCTATTTACAAATTGGACATTTTGATATATTTAATACTTACTTACAACTTTAGCATAATACCATATGTTTGCATGGTAAATTTATAATGTTTTTAGGTTATTGAAAACAATTTTAACATTCAAAATTATTAATTACAATATGTTTAAGTCCTCTTAGTTTCTATAATTTATATATTTATCTATAACTAACTAATTTTTAAATCACTGTCTTTGAATTCTTCGTAAACCAATAAAATAGAAACAATATTGCCATTAATAGAATAATAATTTAAAAATTCTTGAATCTTATTTATGTTTCAATGAATCTAAGTAACTATCTTTTGTCTCTTAAAATGTGTTTTGGATTTTACAAAAATAGTTTATTTAAATATTTATCAAGAAATATTTCTCCATAAATAACATAGGAATCTCCTGCCAATATACCATATTCTCTTTCTAATTGTCCTATTGAAAACCCTCTAAAAGGCATCTTTTCTGACCTAGTCTAATTCACTGTTCTAAGAATGAAATTTGTAATTCTTTGGAAAATCGATAGTTGTTTTGGATAAAAGATATCTTATATATGAGTTAGAGAAGCATGGCAATTAAAATTTGTGCTTCTCAAAATATCAACTTAAAATTTAGAATCAGCAATGCTTATCTGAGTGACACCTTTGGAAGTAATTTTCTTTAACTTTTTTCTATTACAATTACAATTTCATTACATATTGTTATTGTATAGATCATAAATTCTTTTTTGGCTCCAAATTAACGGAAATTTAGAGGCTAAAGGCTTTTGAGAAATTAATTCCCCAGAAACAAATACCTTGATATTTGTTTTTTTTTCTTAATTCAAATGATTGATTAATTATGTTGGAGTGAATTATTTAACTAATTGATATGATTTATATTTGTCTTTGAGCATATTAAGAGAGTGGAGAACTTTTGATAATGTTGCACTTAATCCCAAAATTCCAGAGAGTGATAATAATGTCATATATTCCTCCATTAGTTAATTTATTAATAAAATAATAATCAAGAATTAATTGAACCATTTAGAAAGCTTATGTCTAATGATTGTTGAGCAAATTTCTGGTTATCTGGCTGAATTGATTATAATATTTGTTTCATTAATATTTTTTTAACTTGTCAAACAGGATATGGATGAGTATTTTCAATAATTTTATTGCTTTCAGAATGTAATTGAGACAATTAATAACTGAGAATCATTTGTATTTTATGCTCCAATATACTATTTATTTTTTAGTAAATATTTTTACGATTATGAATCATAGGTTAGGCAATAAAATGAAGAGTATTTTTATAGATATCAAAAGTATATAGATCAGTCTTACAGTTCTATATAGAGTTTCTTTTTTTTTTTTTATTGAAGTTGTTTACAATTTGACAAGAGCTTACTATTCTATTAATAAAGTTCTCAAATCAACATCTTCAAAATTATTTAATCAGTTTGAAGATCAAAAAAAGTCAACTTAGAATAACCAAGACTTAGATTATTTTCTATTCATTTCTAGTAGCATAATTATCAGAGAAAAATTATAAATTAACTTATGAAACATGACTATTTTAAATATCTCTCCTCTTTTAACGAAAGCCTATTAACCCAACTAGACACTGCATTGTTTATACATTGACTTCTAGGTGTTAAAGCAAGTATAAATCAGAGAGATTTAAAAATTTTCTAAATGCATATTCTAATATATTTATATTCTGATTATACTAATAATTTAATTCATAATCAAAATTAACTCCAACTTAGATCTTTTGGGTTGTGGTCTATATAAATGTGAAGATTTAATAATACATTCTACTTTTTTCCACTCTTTATGAACATCATTATCACCAGATAATTGAATAAAATAGTCTCTTCCATCTTATTGGTTTGGATTACTACCTCTTTTTAAGGTCCTTTAAACATGAAACATACTGTTGGGTGGCATTCGAGTATTCATTTAAAATAAAAATTAATGAATTAAGTTATAAATCATCAACTTATAAACTAATTAATGTATTTAATAATAATTCCTAATATAAATGCTAAATCAAAAGCGAAGGTATTTAAAATGATACCTAAGAAGAGTTTAGAGCTTAAATAGGAAACAAGTTTTTATAAAAATTTTAATAAACTAAAATTTTATCCTTAAATTTAGAAACTGTTAAAATCCTAAAAAGTATTAGGTAAATTTACTACTTGGTTTAATCTATAGATTTAGATTTTAGAGGGAGAATAAATAGATATTAATATTACTAATTTGCAAACTTTAGTAGGTGAAATTTAGTTTATTTGCATCAATCGAAAATTATTTCTCTTTGAAGGAAAAATGCAATCGCTGTTTAAAATCTTTTTGGAATAAGCTTAATAGTTCTTATAAGTTGAGACAAATAAAATAATTAAATAAATTAGTTGAAATCATCTAGGATGGGAAGATGAAAAAAGATGATAGGATGTATTCTACACTAAAACAAAGATGTAAAAGCAAAAACCAATGAGGGTGATCAAATTATTAAAAATTTCGAGTTGATATAATTTCAAGACATCTTTAATTGTTAATGAAATTCTATCCTTAAATTTGTTTAATGAAATGCTATCGATATTAGATCAAAAAGTGTTCCATTTTAGCACATTGGATATTATATATATCAATTAAGTTGAGAATGAGAATGAGGATTAGAATTTTTCTATTTTAAGATTGTTAGTTTAAGCCATTAATGAAATCAAAATTATTGGTATATATTGAAAATGAATATTATAAAACATCGGCTTTATTACTATAGATTCACTCTTAAGTTTTTGATTTTTAATTCCTTAATTTTTTATGTTAATTTTTTTCTCTTTTTAGCAAATCATACATTTATAATTTAGTGGAATGATAAATTTCAACTTAATGGTCTCCCAGTTAACTAATAAGTATTTAAAATTCTTACTCTTTAATATTTTTTCCCACCCATTTTATTGGACATTTTTGAACCATGATTATTTTGTTTTATAATTCAATCAATAATCTTTATAAAAGGATGTGCTCAGAAGATAAATTTTTCTCCTTTTCTAACAATATCTAGATTTCAGCTTTTAAATCATTTAGTATCTTCAAACTAATATGCTTATTGACTAACTTTTCTATTTTTTAACTTACTTCAAGAACCCTGAAAAGGACCTTTTATTTATAAGAACCTTAAATAGCATTATTAAGTTATCGATAAGTTATTAAAATGATTTATTAAAGATTTTCATTATTAGAAAACACAATTTGACCAACTTGTTTAGGCGAATAAACTCCCTTCATTAATTTAATTAATCAAATAATTTGAAAATTAAATACTAAAATAAAAATTAATCTAAATTTCCAGGAATATATTATTATATATTTATTAGTTTTAACATTTTTGAATACAAAATTTGTAAAATAGAAAAATTATAAAATCAAAATTGATTATATTTTTATTATTACCATTATTAAAACTGCTGTTAAGAAAATGTATTTTTTAGAAGATATAAATATAAGTAATCAAGAAGATGAAGCTTCACTATATTAAATTCAACATATACTCGATTTAGAATGGTTTTCGCAATAATTTAGGAAAATTGAACCTCATTCATGTTATGGATGTCTGGCAATATAATTTTTATTTAATTTATGAGTCCAAGTACCTAAATGTAGTTTAACACAAATATTTTTATGATTTAATAATTCTTATTAGTTTATAAGCAACCTAAATCAAGATGCTTGAATTACAACATTCTTTCTGAACTAATAAACATTCTCTGAAATTCCAACCAAAGTTGTTTAATATTCAGCTTATTAAAGTTATCTTTAGAAATGATCCTAATAATAATATAAACACAAAATATAAAATTATTAGGATTAATCACAAATCAAATGGATCAAATTACACTTATTATATACTTGGCAACCATTAGTATTAAAGTGGTTAACAAGGAGTTCCATCACCTTATTTGAATGTTACCGATAACTTTTTCTTGTCTTGAATATTTCGATAATTTACCTATTAAATGGCCATCCATAGCTTCTTTTGCTTTTTATGCACTCTCTTATTTGTCAAAGCTCACAAACCCAAATCCTTTACTTTTACCAGTTTTTGGATCAGTCATCACTCTTGCTGAAATCACATTGCCGTACGATGAAAAAAGATCCATAAGATCAGAATCCTTATGTTCATTTGGTAAATGAAAAACAAATAGATTTGCTCCAGGAGGCCCTGTTTTCTTTGAATTGAAAGTGGCCAAATCATTCAAATATTTTTCCTTAGTAATAATTTCTTTACTACCATCTGGAGAGTAAATAATTGAACCAAAGCTTACACTATGAATATAAATATAAATTGAACCTTCTCACTATTTCTCCAGTTTCCCAATGAATATATATTGGTTTCTTCTTCTGATCTAACCATCTTGTATACGATTTAGTCTACAATTTATAATTACATATACAATGTCTCTAATTGGATCTCCTTCTTCATTAGCAGGAATTTCCGGATATTATGATTTTGCAATAGTTGCGGGTTAACCCAAAAACCTAACATCCAAAGGACGATCACTAATTATAACATTAAGAGTAATACCCTAACTAATTCTTATTATGGTTATTTTTGATTGCCAATAAGCAGCTTTCCTTAAAAGTATAAGATACTATGGCACTAATTGATGATTATCCTTAATTCTAGATCTAAACATCTGTAACTTGGCCATATTTCATAAATATTTCTTTTATCATTGCTTCTTCGCAGTCTTTCTATAGGCCATCAATTTATATTTTAGGAGATGTTTCCTCGGCTACTCCTAACCTTTCTTTTTCACCTTCCGCCCATTTAAGCACTAAAGGCTACATTCCATCAACTGCCACCTCTTTCAATTATTTTGTGGCTTTTTCCCCCTCTTGCATTTTATTGAATTTGACAATTGCTATTCCTTTAGATTTGGCTTGATATTAGACTAAATTAATACGATCATCTTTTTTAATCATCTACACATCAGAAACCGTATATCCTTAACTTGAAAGAAAATGTTTCAATTTTAATTCATCCCATGCTGCTGGAATCTAGGAAATCTATAGTTTAAGATAGAGTGGCTATTCTGTTGAAACAAAGGTAGGAACATATGACATTGTGTAGTATAAAATAATTTTAAATAATAATTGGAATAAGAAAAATATTTGAAGGAATAGAAGCTACTAAAAGAGAATTTAGATTTAAGTAATGCAATGCTTGACAAGACATATCTCTTTCTTATCATCATAAATTATGCTTTGAGACTTATATTGTTACAAGTATCATTGACCTAGATACATAAATATTTAGAAACAAATAATCATACCATTCTTATATTTCTATCATTAAAATCCAGATGTATTTGTTATTCTCTCATTTTAAATCATATACAAAACTCTCATTACAACTTATTGGCTTAGAAATTGGTATAATAATATTCGAGTCTGCGTAATTAGATCTTGTTAACAGATTACAGAGTAGTTTTCGATTATCGATTCTAATAAAACTTTAAAACCCTATGATCTTAGATAAGATGACAGACACTTTTGATGATTTATAGAGGGGTGCCAATCCATTATAATAATTAAAAGAATAAATATTACTAATAAAAAAGGTAACTGGAATAGACAGAATAAAATAAGAAAATTGATCTGTGTTTGAATATTACAATGTTATATATTTAACACTAGCTTCAAAATTTTAAACATTAAAACTTGAATAATACTTATAAAAATACACCAGTAATGATCATAACTTTAGAAGAGAAATCACCTACTTTTTATTTTGAAGAAATTTAACGAAAATCCTTTTAGAATTATTAGATGATCCAATCCTTATATGTTAGAATTGGGTAAATTAAAAAATAGAACTTAAATATTTTGGAAAAATTTCAATATACTACAACTTTATTTTCAATATATTTAGGTGATAATTTGAAAATATGAAGACTTCCTACAAATAGAATCTGCAAGGGAGGGATTGAAAAAAATGACATAAAAATTGTTTCACATATAATTTCACCTAATTGTATATTGAAAGAATATTGAAGCTTATGAAATGATATTAATATTGATCTATCAGCATTCTCAGTTATTGAATAGATAACTTATATACTTTTTGTATTAATGTCATAGAATGATTAAAATTTGATGTTAAATTTAAGTATTTAATAAATAGAGTATTATATATTTTTTGAGATGCAATTTTGAGGAAATTAATGATTCTTCATAAAAATATTATGTACTAGAGTTTCTTCAGTCTTTTGGTGTATTTTTAAATCAATTATTTTATAAAATATTTCTATTTTTATAATGATATGAAAAGTAAGTGTATAATGAAAGTAACCTAAACTATAAAAAATTTCTATCTTAATCCAGTTATTCTTATAATTGTTTTATTTTCTATTTAAGGCTAAGGATTATGCTTTTTAAATTAATGAAATTATGAGTAGACTTTATTTAGTAGCTGGTAAGAAGTTATTAATAGTGAACATTAATTAATTAGAGTTCACATAAATAAGAATTTTTATGTTACAGGTTTTGCCTTCTCAAGCAATACTTCAAATTTTCCATTTGTTATTGATTATATTCTAGAATAAAAAGTCAGTTAATTTAATAAATTAAATTTTAATATGGAAATATTAGATAAGGATATCTTTTTTTTTATTATATAATTTATTTAATACATGGATCAATAGCAAGATTTAAAGGAATTAATTTAGCTGTATAATAGCGCTGCTTAGCTGAAGAGGAAAGCAGAAAAAAAATTAATCCGATTCACTGATTGTTTAACAGAGGAGGATAAAATTACATGCGGTATTGACTTAATAGATGAAATTAATACAATCAGATAAAAAATAAAACAGGAAAGAAGAGAGAAAGCTGATAATAGCGTGAGAAATTCTTACATATCGCTTTAAAATTCAATGTCTGAAAATAATCTTACCCTGAGAAAATAACTTAATGAAAAATCAATGAGTAGTTTTTATAGTTATAATTATAAGTGCTTGAATAAGAAAAAATAAATTTTAGAGAATAAATTGAGGCATCTTAATTTTAATTGAACAAGCTTAAATAAGAGTTAGAGATCTTGAGAGACAGTAATTAAATAAATAATAATTTCAGGTAACCTGGATGAGATAAATTAATTAATCTTGAAAAATTAGCAATTAGATGAGATAATCAATTAATTAAATAAGGAACTTATCTAAACTTAGAATAGTATATCTTATGATAATTTCTTAGAATTGTAAATATATAAGGATGAAGAAGAAAGGAAAAAATAGTTTTACTACCTAATAGAAAACCTTAAAACTGGTATTTTATAAAAATTGAAAAATAGCTATTATAAATAATTATGATAATATCATTCCAACACCACTCAAAGATGCAGCAAAACCAAATGAGATGTCTAATAAATGTGAATAATAAGAAGAAGATAAACCATTAAACGAATAAAATTTAATCTAAAATAAAATGAAATAACTCTATCAGATTTTCAGTGATAAATAAAAATCTTTACATTTACAAGCTGAAGAATAATTTATCTAAATTGAGAGTGGTATAACAAACATGGAAGAATTTCTTTAAAGAATTATTGATTAAGAAGAAACACTTAAAGAAAAAAACAAATTTCGCAGTTTAGGAACAAGTTAAGATCTAACACATCATTAATATTTTGAGGATAATGAACAGTAATAATTGTAAAATTAGCTAGGATAGTAAATATAAAGTAAATATCATCTCTATATCTAAGATTTTAAATAAAATTTATTAGAATTGAAGGAAGCAAATCGTATGCTTCTAAAAAATCACAAATAAAACTAAAAAAGGATTACTACTCCTTTAGTTTGTATTAATATTCATTAATTATAGAACTGGGATAAAATTTTGAAACGTTGGCTGACCAACTACAATAGATTTATGAGAAAGGAGATGAACATGAGGAGGGCTTATAAGCCTAGATAGATTTTTTAGGTAATATATTTCTAATATGTTAAGATAATGTAGTCGATCAAATAAAGATCTAAAAAAAGAACCCATTCAACGATGATGATAAGGAAAATATTAATAACTATAATGATAAAATTCCGATCAATGAATTAAATTAAGATGAAATTATACTTTGCCAATAAGATATTCATAAAGATTGTTAACAAAATTTAAATTAAGATGTCCAAATTTAAGAAAATAAAATAATATTAGATTTAAATTTCTAACTGTCGCCTGCATAGAGAA